TCCTCGTCACATGCTCAAGGTTCGCAGACAAATGGGCGTCTGGTGTCAGTCTACCGTCTTAGATCAGCTGCTGCTTCTTGGCCTACTTCAACTCGTCGGTGCTCCTCGCAGTCACAAACAACGGGAGAAGACGCAGACGCACTGGCCGGGGCATCGCGGCATCCTTTGTCAGGCGCCGCACGCCATCCAGGTTTTTCCTGAAGGGTTTGCGCCCAACGGCGATGTCTTGTTCCGCCTCCCACACCTCCGCCAGTCGCTTCTCCCGGTACTGTGCCACAAGCCTCGCGCAAAAAATCGACCTGCAGCGACAGTCTGGTTTGCCTCTCCCGAAACTCCGGCGGAGACCGCACCGCACTGGTCAACTCCGCAAGATTGGCCTTCGGCTCCACGCCATGCGCCAATCCCGGGTGATACGCGTGGAGTGTTTTCAGCGCCACCAAAAGCTCCTCCACGCAATGCGCAAGAAAACAATGACGGTAGGAGCACCGGTACACATCTTCCCCATCAATTGCTGCCGCTTCTAGTCCTCACCCAGACGATTCCTACAGGTCCGCTCATACAATTTCTTCCCCGGCGGCATCAGTTCATCAAGCAGAAACTGAGATGTGCGTTGGTGCATCAGCGGCGTCACCATGGCACAGCTTCAATCAACGATGATCCGCACCGGGTTGCCGCGGCTGTCGGCGCCCCTAAGTGAAATCCGGCTCGTCGTGGCAGAGCCTGGCAAGCCCATTGCAGATGCTGCCACTGTTTTGGTGGCGAATGACGGGCACACCGTTGTTCATGGCGTGAAAAGCCGCCACAGGACGTGGCGCCGTAAAGTCCAAAACGGACCATCAATTCGGAGGCGACAGCAGCTGAGAAACCTATTCTGCATGCTGAGGTGGAAAACCAGCACCTCACGGGCGGCGAAGTCTAACATAATGTCCTTGGAACACATCGCCCTCGGCGCTATCCGAGCCCACGCGAGTTGCTAAGGGTGGCGATGCGGGGTGCACTCCAGCGCAAAGATGTGTGCATCCCTGTACGGGACCTTTGCAATCCAATCCTCAGCCACGCGGCTCACAGACGCATCCTCCACGGCAAAAAAGTAGGGCGCAGGGCTACTCATAATCGGCTGCCGCGGCGTCATGAGGTCCTCGAGCAGCGTCACGCCGTGCTCCACGAGTTCATGGAGACGCAGTGAGCAGCTCAGCACAGCCGCAGCATGGGCATCGCAGAAAAAACTTTAAACGATCCATAAACGGCGTCGAGCATCTGATGGAACATATGATCCCGCGCACAACCACAAACGCCATTGCTGAGCTCACGCGGCTTCCCTTCTTCCGACGGCCTTGCTCGCACCAACCCGCCTCGCATAATATGTCAAGCACAAGTCACACAGACAATGTGCTTCGATATGCGTGTGTGTCTTGTGTGCGCACATTCACTCGCACCGCTTTTTGTGTATGTATGTGTGTCTCAGAAAACCCAACAAGCACACAAGCAATGCCATACTACCATCTGGTGGCCCCAACATCGGCAACCAACACAAGAAGAGCTGTGGGCATCGGAAGTACCACCAATTTCAAACACAAAGTCAAACGGAGTGGGCACAGCACATGCATATGGAGAACGACATCCATTGAAATGGATGTTTTTCTATTGGGCTTCCAGTTCTGGGTGCAGGCCGCGCAGGAGGAAGCGCAGTCGCCTCGCAGCGCAACGCCGACCACACCGCAAATCGATAGAGTGTTGCCACGGCGGCGGCAGAGGCAAACAGAAGAAGCAGCGGACAGGGACAAGCAGCAGCAGCAGTGTCATCACCGGGAGTCGGGGACGGGCCTGCTCGCCGTCCGTCTCGCTGCTTCGATCCTTGCCCCCGAGAGAAGATTCTCGCGGTCTGTCGGAGCATCCTGGCCGGATCCACTTCTCCTCTGGCGACGGATGCTTCTGGGGAACAGCCGTGTCGACATCCTTTGGTGGTGTACCGTGGTCGGTCTCAATGCTCTCCGCAACGGGGACGGATGCCCCCTGGGAAGTCTTGTTCAGTAGATGCCGGTGAAACCGTCCTGCTCCACACGCCCTCTCCTCGCCGTCCCACGGAACCACTGCAGGAAGGCTGCCGCTGGTGGCGGATATCGTGCACACCTCCGCGTGGTCACGGCAAATGGCGTTTCCCTCATCGTAGGGCCGAGTGGCCCAAGCAATCGTCGCCCCGTCCGTGCATGGGCACAACGGACGTTACCCTATTTAGTCACTTCCAGATGCACCTGCATGCCGAGACACTTCAATGCCGCATGCATGGCAGCACCGAGATGTATGTCTCCTCCGGGTCCCTCGCATCCGTCGTGTTGGTGGGAAGCGTGTCCAGCCACCACGAAGAGGACCCATCCCCAGGCCTCGCAGACAAATATTCTCCCCTCCCAAATAACAGCGTCAGCATCCCTCACATCCAGTGCGGGATCAATGATGGGGCAGCTGTCCATCGGGCGTTTTGCTGACCCCTCATGGATACTCCATCTACACACCAACCACTGGAATACCAATCCGTCGCGCAGCATCTGGCAGGAACTCTCGCTTTTCAGAACATCTGGGGATATTCACTCATGTTCAGTGCGGAGCGCTTCCTCTGCAGCAGCCCGACTTCTTGCCGCAACGCATCGGCTCCATCCACTCATCCCTCGCGTGACGCCGCGACCAGTGCGACTCCAGCGTCCTCCCGTCCCCGCCGCCATCCTGCAGCTCCACGCCATCAATGTCGTCGCAGTCGTGGTGCTCCCTCGCAGCCATCGCGGCATTCGCTGAGTGCACCACCACCGACAGCGCTCTGCCACGCACACCAATAGCATTCCTCACCATGCTGAGATCTGCCATGTGCGGGCAGTTAAACCCGACAGCATGGGCCATCAGGTGCGCGGCGATGCGGGTGGCGAGGCGTCCGTGAAATAAAACTGACAGGCAGTGTTCATGGCGCCAGCGACATGATGGCCATCCTCTAGCGTGGCGCACCGCAGTGCCCACACACCAACAAGCGCAGCAGCCACGCACAGCGCCGTGTCAGAATTGGGAACACCAGTGGAAGGATGCTCAGCAGGCACCGTGAACCGACTGCAAACGCTTCCCGTGGCAAATGGGACGCAGTCAGCGGACCCTCCAGTGCCTGCACGAGCAGACGATCCGCATGCAGTTTGAAAGCAGCAGGGACAGTCTCCTCAGCAAGGAGGTTCCCGTGCGCAAAGGTCAAAGCACCGTTCTTAGAGCCAAACGCGCCGTCCAAAGAATTTGCTGTGCAACGCCAAAAGAAGACGCAGTGACTCCTGCTGTCACACGGGTCCGTCGTTAACGCCTTAATGCCTATGGGTACCCACCGGTCTTTCCAGACGAAGTTCCACACCTGCAACGCATCCTGCGCCCTGAGATGCATTCTCCCCACCGTAAACAAGATAAACCTCGCCGTCGGAGGAGACCACATCGTCAACAAATCAGGAATACTTCAGGGACACAAAAAAGCAACCGCTGAAAATCGCATCGCAGATATCATCGCAAAGAGAAAAAACAGCGCTAGAGGCTGTGGGGTGGCGTCGATCAATTGAAGCATGGCGTATTTCAAAGAAAAGCCAATTGGCTTGAAAAGATTTAAAGAGGCTGACACTCTCAGAAGAATAGAAACAACATGAAACAAAAAAAAAAGATTCAAGTCTCCAAAGTCAAACCAAACTGCCAATCGAAAAAGTGTGGAATGGGTGCACTCAACCACAACACAAGTAAAACAATGAAAAAAAGCCGAAGCGTGGGACGACCAGCGCACACACACTCTCATTGCTCCCGTAAAGCAAAACACACACACAGAGGGAGAGAGAGAGAGGTCGCCCACTCAATGCAATAAAAACAAAAGAGAAACAGTTACGGTGCTCCGCCCATGCAGCCAGGCAGGACGGCAGCGGTGCGTGTCGTGCAAAAGAGAGCACCAACGGGCCTGCATAGGTGTGCATGCATATATACAATGGGCACATTATTGTGTGTGCTTCGTGGGGTGAGGTGAGGGCGAGAGTCCATGCAGGGGACACACACACAGAGAGAGAAGGACGAGTGTGTGTGCGGGCGGTGCACGGCTCTCTCTCCCTCACTCTCACGCGGCCACCACCGCAGCAGCAGCAGCACACACAACAACAACAAGAGGAAGAAGCAAAAGAGGGGAGGCGGTGTGGGAGACCGCGGTGCTGCCGTCACTTTCGCCTGTATTTGCGGTGGCATTTGTACGAAGAGCAGTTTTGTCTTTCGCGGATTCTTCGCCATTTTCCGCGGGGTGTTCATGCTGTTGATGTTGTTGGGCTTGTGCCTCATCACTTTGCTGCTGCTTTTCATTTTCTTCTTCCTCTTCTTCTTCCTCTTCTTTTTCCTGTCCTTTGTGTCCAGTGCCGGATGTCGTTCCTTCCGGTCCTTCGGGTGGCGAGGAGTTGTGAGCCGCTGCAGCAGCAGGCGTCTGATCTCCTGTTGGAGAGTCTCCTGTTGTGCTAGATGAATTAGTGCCTGAGGGCCCCGCTTCACCATCACTGCCGCTAGCTGAAGAATCACCACCAGGAGCAGCAGCAGGAACGGAAGGACCACCAGAAGGAGAAGCGGGAGAAGGAGGAGCAGCAGCAGGAGCTGGAGGACCACCGGTGCCCTGATCTCCAGTAGAACCATCACCAGAAACGCCTGCACCGCCTTCACCAGCACCAGAAGCCCCTGGAACAGCAGCAGGACCAGAAGTACCACCAGCAGAGCTAGAACCAGTAACACCACCAGGAGAAGAACCAGCGTTGGAAGTCTCACTTGAATTCGAATTGTTCGTTGTTGCAACAGTATTATCTGTTCCAGCCGAGGCTTCGACGGCAGTAATGGGCAGTACTGACCGCAAAGGCACCGTAATCGCAGTTTTATTACATCCGTCAGGCATGTGGGATCCATTCTCACCCAACACTCCCGACGCCATGCAGCCACCCAGTGCGTTGGTGTCAACGTCCCTCGCATAAACACCGCCGGCAACGCACCACAGCACGCAGAGGGCACACACCAGCAGCACACGGCCAGTCATCATCATCGCCATCACTCCTGTCACTTGCGTGTAGCCTTCAGCACAAACTAACTCCCCGTCAACGCAAAAAGCAAAAAGAGAAACAAGTCACACAACCACGCACCGTCCCATCCAGCAACGAGAGCCACACACCACCACAACAACAATTAGGTGGGCGCGGCTCAACAACAATCAAATCAAAACAAAAGAGGGGCGCTCCTCGCCCGTGCACCGTTCCTCACACTCCCACAGTCACCACTACTGTTATTCCCTCTCTCCTCAGTCCCTCACAGGCACGACACGCTCACTCCAACACGCGCCCCTCACAGCACAGGCAGTCCGTCATGCGTTCCCGCTGCGCCGCAACGTCGTGCCGCCCCTCCTCCCCAATCATGAGCGCAACGCCCAACGCGTACTGGCGCACGTGCTCCATGCGCTGCAACCACACACCAGTCAGGTTGGCCGTCATGCACTGCATCTCGTTTTCCTCCCTGTGCATGAAGCAGACCCTCACACCTTCTCAATCCACGGCCTGGGAACTGCGAGAGGCGGCCGAGTGGTGCCACGTGCCTGAAGATCCAAATGTACGGAAACAACGGCCACCCTCACTCCCTCACAAATCTCCACTCCCTTCACTGTCCCGCACACAAGGGCGGTGTCATGGAGAGGAGAAGCCCAACGCAAATCCGAGGGCAGCAAATAGCAACGCCATCGGCGTCGCACCGCAGGATAGAGCCATGCGCACAGCACAAACACGGCGGCAAAGAGAGGGACGGGCACATACAAGTACATACTGCAGTCCTTTACTTCTCACCGCCGCGACAGATTGACATTGCGCCTCACACCAGGTCGTGGCGGATTGGCGTCCCACACTCACAGTGAGGCACGGCGCACACAGTCCGCTCCCTCCGAGCGCACTCAGCAGGCCGCCGCCCAGTCGCCCTCCTGCCATCGCAAAGGGGAACACAAACAATCGTCGTAGCGGAACATCGATGTCTCCAGCAGGAAAGAAGAGAAAGAAAAGGAACGAGGGCATGTCAACTGCACAGTCAGCAGAGGAACACTCAACGGGACACGGAGACACACAGTGACAGCAGATACGGTAACTACAGAAACAAGTCGCGGGGATTTAAAAAAAGAAAAAGGGTGGGGGTCCGGGATAACTCCCAAAAATAAAAGGAAAAATTGATGCGGCAGGACTTTTATTTCATGTGCCATGCAGCACGAAGCGACCGTGTGTATATACACATTGCCCCCACCAAGAAAAGAAAAAGGGAAATTAAAATAAATAAAAGAGATTGCACTGTTCCACCAGCCCACACAACATCCCTCACATTTCATGCGGCATCCGGCCTGTTCGTCCTAACCTCCTTTCGTGCAGTCCGTGGGACGCGCAGCCGCAGGGCCGGCACCGTGTGTGGGCAAAAACAAAAGCAAACAAGAGCGGGAAACACGTCGCTCATTACAGTGTGCAGCAGCCGAACATTACGCAAAGAAACAACAGTACTTACTGCTCCAGCTGAACTGCATTAAAAAGACATTTAAAAGTAAAAACATTAAAGAAATAAAAGATAAGTGAAAAAGGGTGGGAAGTGCGGCACGTATTCTCCGTGAGGCGTCGCAGATCCGCACTCCGTGGCTCAGAAAGCTGCCACCACCCAAATACAACCCCAGTAGAAGCAGCAACGCACAAGACACGCACACACGCACGGTGTTGTTAGCGCCTAAATCACGAAGTGTCAATTCCACGTCGTTGGGAGAGGCGAGGCGGTCGTCGGGACTCACGCCGCTCCACACCCTGCGAGGTGACTATTTGTAACGGGAATTCGTGTCCAGGGCGTGGTGCTCATTCATTTCTCTTCGGTAATATTCCCAGCAATGTGCTCCCTGACGCTGTCAAATACTCGAATCTTCTCGGGTGGTGTCGGAGCCGCTTCCCTCGTCGGAGCGGGGGCCCTGTCCTTGGGTGCACGCATCGCAGTGGAATTCAGTGGGCGGCTGTACAGAAAGACGTCATTCACCGTCACAGGGGATTAGTGCCCACAGCACGCGCCAAAGCAAAACCTCAGGACCTCAGGTGGCTTCTGGCCTGTTAACGGCACCTCTTCCTATTCCGCCAGCAACAGACCGTCAATGTGCACAGAGGCCTTGTTGCCTTGCAGCATAAGTACCGCCTGGTACTCTTTCTTCGGCTCCCAAGTGCTCCTCCGTGTTGTTGTCGTCCCTTCGAACGCCGTCTCCCGCTTCTTATTTTGGCCGCACGACAGTCCCATGGTATGATTGGACGCAGTGTCCGCCAGCACCGCAGTCAGTGGAGGAGTGTTCCCACTCGGGGCCTCTTCGATGGTCACCGACGCCACAAGTGTGAAGTGGTGGCTCAAGAATACATGACGCACGTTATCATCCCGAGTGTTCACGGACCATATTGTCCTGGACTCAAGTCCCGTGAATCGGAACCCATCGCAGTCCTTCACTGCATTCGTCACCGTCGCATGCAGGCAACGGTACTCGTCGTTCCACGTGCCATCACTGGCCGCATCGGACAAAGCTGCCACCAGACCCGCCGTGGGTATTGAAACGCTGGAGAAGAAACTGCCCTTTTGCACCCCAGCACTGAGGACGGACTTGATTGCACTCACTTCCTCCGTCAGGCGGGAAAGTGAAACGGCACGGCCCTCACCGTTGCCCCTCCGTTGTAAAAGATGCAAATCCCCGTCCGAGTGCAGCAGGGTGCTGGCGAGCTCCCAATTCACAGCATCCCTCATGGCAACCGGTCCAACATAAAACGAGCGGCTGTTGGCCGTGACCCAAACGTAAAGCGGATTGGCCCTATTCTCCACCGAGGCGTACCCTCTCTGAGTGCACAGCATGACCTTCCTTCCCTCAATGGTCGCGGCGATGGGGGCATCCACACGCAGGCTTTCTTTCTGAGAGGCTCCCGATCCTGAGTTGACCCACACGCCTAAAAGCTTCCCGATGGCCTCCGTCCACGTTGTCCCCATGTCACGCGACTCGTACACCCTCTGGCCATTCTCGCAGTCAACAATCATGGGAAGTGATCCCTCCCACTCGCTGACGCGGGGTCAAGGCATTTCGCAGGGGAAATGCCCTCAGAGAGCGCCCAGCTACTGCCGTTGTCCGTCGAGTAAATGGTCATGGAGCAAACGTGTTCTGCCTCATTCCTCGCCATCAGAGGAAACAGGAAGGTGCCATCCTCCATCACAACACCTGCGCCACCGGAAGCAATGAACTCCGTCCGTTCACCTTCGTGAGAAGCAGAAGAGATCAGTTTCGAGAGTGTTTGGGGCCGCCCCATTCGATCCGTCCACTCCGCTTGCCACCCGTGGGATTCGTGACATCGCCCACAACCAGTTGCAGCTCCAAGCCGCCCTCTCTCCAACACCCACCTTCGTAGGACACATCCGAGCCTCCCGCAAGAAGAAACACTCCGTGGCCCTTCGTGACTGTTGTGGAGTGGTGCACAACACCCAAACTCTCCTCTCCCTCCGCTGCACCAGGCACAGTGTGTGCCCTCCATGTATCTTTTATTGACCTCACCAACAAGAGTGGAACAATGCCACGCAGGGTCAATGCACCCCGCAACAAAACCAGAAGAAAAGGGCTTAGTTAATTGACCACCTTGATATTCGGCATCCAAATGTGACCCTCGGCGAAAGCAGCCACCACTCCACCAGCACTGACGAGAAAGGGTAAAACAAATGAATTCCTTGTCGTAACTGGAACAACCTCATCCCTCGGCTGCAACACCTTCGTCTGTGGAAAAATAGATCGACCCTCTCCGGCTCCTGAAACACTTCTTAAATCATTCTTGCCATCATTCTCCCTTGCAGGCGTGGCTCCACAAGTACCGCAGCGCAACGTCACAAAAAGGAGGAGGAGCAGCACCGCAGAGTAGAGGAGGTGCCGCAACATGGTGGGCCCCTGCGGCTCACTCTCTCCTCCTTCCCTCCTCCTTCCGCTGGATCCGGTCACGCGGCGACGGTTGTGTGTGCGGGGTGCCATGACTGCCGCAACACGTGAGAGCATACAAATATGTGTTTGTGTGTGGGCGGTGTGTGTGCTGTTGGTCCTTCAGTGCCTTCGAACTTCACAGTGTCGATTGGCGTTTGTTTTCCTTCCCAGTTTGAGTGTGTTTGCGCGCAGGAAATCAAATTAGAATTTAAAAAGCACCAAAACAGAGCGTGGCAGAAGAAAGGGTGGCGCCGCCATCCACAGTGTAACACACCAGCGTCGTCGTAACCGCTACAGTAATTACTCTCCCCGTCAACAACGGCTCAAGCACTGAGGCCGCAGGCAGAAGCAGGGACACTGACGTTTGCGCACGGGCCAATACACTCTCCGGCAAACGGCACCAACCAACAGACAGCCAGCAGAAAGTAAGTGCAAGAAAAATCCCAAGTGCTGCGGGATCCTTGCAAGCAGCGCTCCCCCACTGCAGGGCCTCTATTAAAGCGTTCCTCGCCGCAACATCCTCACAACCCGCTCGGCGTGTCGGTGGATTTTCCCGTTCACCGGAACAAAAACAGCGGGATGCTCCGGCTGGGATCGAAGACACACAGAGCGCACCGTCGACGCGACCAACGGGCGCAGGCTCTCGTGAAGTGAGATCCCACAACCGTGATCCCTCCATTGACTCTCCTGGACGTGAAGGAGGCATGAAATGTCCTCTTCTCTACAGTAGTCCCGAAACGCAAAAATACCGCAGGACATCCCGCGCAGCCACGGCCTCCTCAGCAGCCCGACAGTCCACGCCGTCGCACCGCTCCTCAAGAGGTCGCCAGGCCCGGTGAAGCAAGCAAAAGTAGAGCAGCAATTCGGTCAGGGCGTTCAGCAAAATAAGGCACAGCAGTCGGGTAGGCGCGGCCCATCCACGTCCTCCCCCTCAACCGACCCACCACACAGTCGGATCACACACCCAAAAAGAGCAGTGGCGCCCAAAAAAATAACACGGACACTAACGCCTCGTGCTCTCCTCAATGTAGCTTCACGGCACACCCGAGGCATCACAAGAA